ACATTAATATGTACTTGTAAGCTTGTATTTGAAAGATAAAATTGAAAAAAAAACACATAGGCTATATGTAGCATGTATTAATTCAGTCTTCATTGCTAAAAAGTAAGTTATACAGTGATGCAGAGTGATGACACAGCAAAGCCTCAAAAACAGAAAACTTTATGTTTAATTCATATTTCCTGTGTGATTTCTGAGTTGGTTTTCAGCTAATTATGCCGCAGTGCTAACTTGGAACACCAACAGAAGTAACAGCACACATCACACTTCTGACCAGCAGGTTTTGATGCATTGTGGGGAATTTGGGGCACATACTTGTTGACAGAAGAACAATAAAGAGTCAAATTTAGAGGTAGAGAATAATAAGTGCCCCCACTCATTTCAATGGTGGGCCACAATAATGACCATAGCTGAAAACATACAATTATTGAGATCATTAGACTTTAGGTACAAGTTAAATGTATTTTTGTGCACATTAAACATTAATCTATCTGAATGAAGAAGGAGGAGTTCCTATAAATCTTCTTCAAATACAGTCTAGATTTCTTCCTCTGACGTGAGCTGGGTTATCTGATATTCTGTTGGAGCGGTCTTCATCGCAAAATGTCACCGGCTGCATTTTGTCTCAATTAGAGCCCAGATGTCAGAGCTCTGACGGTTTCAGCAACAGCTTTATTTTCACTGTCAGTACGAATGAATCTGCAGAGCAGACTGCCGACTCCTTGCTTAGACAATTCACATAATTTAATCAATTTCACAGTGATCAGATGAACAACTCAGCCTGTGATGGACTTGATAATTTCATCATTTCATGCTGCTGTTTTACATCCAGCACATATAGCCAGTTGACGCTCTGTCCTTGAGAGCTGAGAGAGGTTAATTGAGAATCCTATTCTTCTATGATAATTATTGGCAGGAAGCAAAGAGAGATTTAGTATTACTACCATAGAAGCAAATAAGCATAAGCCTCGTAAATCTTGTATTCATACCCCAATTACACTATTGTGTTCTGTGAAAATAAATATGACTTTAGGAAAATACCCTTCTGCATCCTTCCTACATGCCTGACACGACAGCAGCTGCAGTTTGACCATCAGCTAAGCAAAGTTAATCTCGACTTAAAGAAGTCCCATATGAATGCTTTACCCATGAAGCAGCAAAGACTGTTAAAAATGTTATTTAATCTCATACTGGAATATATATGCTTTATATCAGGGATCTACAACTTTTTCAATCCAAATAGACACTTCTATAGAAGAGGATTAGGGCCACTAAAATTGTGACTATTGATCTCAGAAGATTATTGAAGATTAATTCTGAAGTTAAAGTCAGAATTCAGAGACAAAAGAATCCAAATTCTGAAATTAAAGTGAACATTCTGAGAATAAACCAGATTTTTTTTTCACCAGCGGCTCTAATGTTCTTCCATACATTTTTGCCATCAGATCAGCTAATTAACACTCATTTAGAGCTGCATGTATTTTTTTAATTTATCCAGGGCAAGAAAACCGGAAGTAAAATAAATATTGCTGGTAGTTTCAGTGAGATTTTGTTATGGAAATTTAATGCAATTTAGTCCATGAAAAATTTGTAAAAGTACAACAACCTGCATTTGTTGCTACATTTTTTCACCAGTTATTAAGAACCATTGTTGGAGACTCAAAGAGCCACTTGTGGCTCCGGAGCCGCAGGGTGAGGATCCCTCATCTATCTGCTCTGATGAGGCGTTACTCCCCTCTGCATGCTGACTGCATGGAGTGGCTCAAACTGATGGCAGCTCCACCTACTTTGATTATTTTAGTAAATAATTTTTTTACCACTTAAAATTACTTATAGATTATTAAACTTTCTTCCTCAGATAATCAGTTCATCTGTAAGTAAAACAATGAATTCTACATCCTTCATCTCATTATGCGTACACTATACAAAATGGGAACACGTCAAAAGCGACACAAACTGACAGTTCATATTCCAGAAAATGGTCTTGATTTCCTCATCATTAGTCTAGATAAGAAACAGCAGCTTTACTCAATGAAAATTATTACTATCACAGAAAAAATAGAGTTCCAATCAGAGTTACATGCTATTTTACCAACTGGTTGGTATTTCAACCTAACCCTAACCCTTCACCAAGTGGTCAACCAATGCAGTTTAATCACAGAACAACCATAATGATCTCATATCTAAATGATGTATTTATAAGCAGCCCTCTGTTTTAGCAGCAGTGAAGCATGGCTGTCACAAACAGTCTGTCTCAAAAGCCCAAACCTTCCGCTTTAACACCCACAAAGACAGAACAGGTCAGAGTTTCAGTTTCATTCTCCTTCAGTTTATAAAATGAACCACCTTATTTGCAGTATTCTTGAGGTAAACATAGCAACACAACCACAAGATCCCTGGGTGTTTCTAATGTAATAGCAACTGACAGACCACCTGAGGTTTATAGGTTTCAATGAAATACCATAGGAATGCAGGTGTAACAGGTTCAGTGGAACCAAGTTGAATGTCTTATATCCCTGCATAGACGTTGAAGCTAACTGTTAAAACTGTTGTGGAGAAAGTGTGTGTTTATGGGAAAAGAGTGGAAATAATCCAGTTTTCCCTCATAGACTACAAAAGCTTTGAGATAAAAATATCCAAAACATAAACTGACTCACTCGGAAACAATACCCATCCGTCTGTCTGTTTTGATGATTCCGTGACTCACCTCTTGTTTGTTGAATTTTTCGTTTCCCCTTTAGAGTTATAAAATCCTTCTGTGTTTTGTTGTCATCGCGAGGCCTTTCGTTAAATAGCTAGGAGTTCCACTTTCTAATTTCACTCTCCGCTTTTCTGTCCAAACACCAACGGTAATTATCGATAACATCAAATCCACCTGTTGTCATGTTTTAGAAGCATAGAGCATCTCTGATCAGTGCTGGTTCTCTCTCAATCATCAAACACCTTCAGATCTGTGAGAATACCCTGCAGCTGTGAAGAATAAAAAAGCCCTTTTGCTCCAAAGCAAATTAGGACTGATGAGCTCTTTTTTTCTCTCTCCCTGGTCTAAAGTACTCAAACGATCTTTTTCTGACAAAACACATGGAAATAGACTTGTTTTACAAAAGCTAAATATTCTATTATTTATTTAATTTTATCCGATTAACTTAAAGTAATTCTCTTTTTTTATCTTGGGGGAAACACAAAGGCCAGTAGGTAATGGAAACAAAACAGTTGATTACACAAAATGTGGGTTAGTAATACTCCTTTAAAATTTCCTCCTGGATGTTTTTATTGCATGAAAAATATGGAAAACATAATTTTGGGGGGAACTTTACATTAAAGAAGCTAGAATGCTAATGCAGTGTTTCCATTACAAATGTGCGCAAAACTTTGGTTGTATTCTGCTAATGTCGCAAAACACAAATTTTGCGGTCTTGGCATTACAAGAAACACATTAAAAATCGCACGGGAATTAAAAACATGTCATGCCATGATCTTCCACCCACTTCCTGTCGTCTTCTTCTTCGTGATTTGTGTCAGTGGCAAAATATTGATATCGGGCCAATATTGATTGCTCATATGTGACTTCTAATGCAAAAAATGTGTTTGCAGTTTTGCAAAATAAACCAATTTTGATACAGCCAAAACACCATCTGAATCAAAACATTTTATTGAAAAACATGTTCTTTTTTTCTAAATTGTTGTATTTTCATTAAGCATATTTATTTTCAAATGTGAAATTGCACTATTATACAGTTGATGGAAACCCAGCTACTGACATACCCATTTGTTCATATTTTTAGAAGGTACACCAGGATGGGATGCTCAAGATAGGATAAAAATGTTCTCTATACATTTTATTAACCTGGTAAAAACCAAAGTCTTGTTCTATGCTTTGTTTTATTCAAAGCGTAGAACATTCATCGGCTATTGAGAAACGATTGCTTCCTGGAGTCCTGGAGGACTCTGTTGACGTTCGAAACGATTGGATCTGATTTTAGCCAATCACTAACGTTTGGCTGTGACATGTAATGCGACAGTTCAATCATGAAGGAAGCTACGCTATAAAGGTTTCTTACTTTAAAAATCAATCAACGTTTGAAGGAAACAAAGTGGGCTGAATACAGACGCATACCGCACTTTTCAGATTTTTTATTTTTGTATAACTCTCCTTCCACTTAACAGTTATCCTCTAGTTTACAGATGTGTCACGTCCCAAAAAAGCCCACTGACATTTTTGACTGTAATGCAGCAAAACAGTTTAAATGTTTTGAGGGGTGTAAATACTTTTTCAGGGTACTTTAGAAGTAGAACTTTGACGTCTAATGAACAGCATAACAGACTAAAGTCAACTTGTTTACATGATTCCCCAGATCCCAATTTAAGATGTCTTTAATATGAAACGCAAACCTTTTTATTGATTGTTGTATTTCTGTCTTCAGTTTTATTACATCTCTCCTATGAAATTTCACCTTTTATAACGGTTGCTCCACTCTCCGGCAGATCCAGTGCCCTTTTACTGGCAACTATGTCTGACATTTGAATGCACAACTACAGTACACTGTGTGTCCATGACTGACTGTATAGATGCGTAGATGTAGCCGTGCCTCCTGAGGATGCCTATTATCTGCCGGTATGGTCCTGTGGGTTGACAAATTGAGGGGCAGCTACCATCGAAAGGTCACATTCTTACTCAGGAAGGACCAGTGGTTCCTGATTATTACCCTTTTTGGAGCTGCACAAGAACAAAAGTAACTCTAGTATTTGTGTTTCACACACTCTTATGTACACGCTTACACTGTATTACTTGATATATACATGCATATGCTTGTTAGGGGCACTTTTGTGAAACTATAGCAAAATTATTTATAACCAAACATATTTATACCGACTTTGATGTAATTATTAGAAATGGACTGTGTAAATAGTTTTACGTTTATAAGCTGATTGTAGGTTGTTACTCATAATGTCCAGTAGGGGATGCTGTATCTTAGTTCATGATGAGATGTGTCTTCATTAAAACCGGAAAACAAGAGTTAAGACGGTTTGCTTCATAGACATAATATAAGATTATATTATGTCTATGGTTTGCTTGTCTCCCATAGTCTCCTGTCAGTCAGTACTGAGTCCTATCTCACGGACTAGGAAGAAGAGAACGTTCTTCATCTTTGGGACTGAGGATTATCGCGCACATTCTTCAGAGCAAAGCTAAAGGTTTCCTAGCAGCATAACACGGACTTTACTAAGTTTGCAGCCCATGGACAAGGGAGCGAGGTAAATGTTTAAGAGCTGTATTTGTTCATAAAGTTAACAATTTCATGTAATGTGTTCATGTTCTGTGTCAAACAAAAGCACTTCAGCAGATGTATTTGATTTTTTCCTTTTAGTTTTCACGATGTATTTGGTGACCTTAAGCAAAACCTAGTTTCGAACGAAGTAACTAAATATGAATCTACTACACCCGTCGAAGCTCTCAAAATTTCTGATCTGAAAATTTGAGCCAATATCAGTAGCCAACATTAATATTGCTTTCATGACAATATTTACCAAATATACATACATATATATATATATATATATATATATATATATATATATATATATATATATATATATATATATATATATATATATATATGGACACATACCGCTGACATTACTTCTCTGCTTCAGTTAAGCGCCACACAATCCTGCGATGCATCGTCATCTGAGCACACAAATACCAGACCAACCTCTATGCTCATGAAATTAAACATAAACGGCAACAAGTTAAAAGACAAATTAATTAACATCAATTAACTAATTCATTAATTAATTAACATCAATCCAGTTTTACCTGTCTAACTGATATGATATCTTAAAAAAACGACTAATATCGGCAGATACCGATGCCGATATATGGTAGTAGTGATTATAGTTTGGTTTTTTGCAGTGGGACAAATGATCGCTTTCTTGAGGTGATTTTGTCCAATCTGTGAACACGTATTTCACAGTATGTCAACCACATCAAAACTACAAGCATGGTTTTCACATGTAAAGTTAAGTTGGATGTGTCACCATATATTTGGCATTTTACACCCTTGTGTGTTGAAAGAAAAAAAAAAAAACGCTTGCGTCAGTGAAGGATGAGAACAGGCTTAACCAGAGTAGTTTGGCTGTGGGTAAGGCCTTTCCTGATTGTTTGCTTAATTACTTGAACAAAACAAGGAAACAAAACACTTTTTAGTGTTTTTTATTTTGGTAATTTTGTCCAAACTGTGCGCATATGTGCTTCTCAGTATTTTCCCAATACTATGTATTTCAGTCTACACCAAAATAAACAATCTTTGTTAATGTTGTTAATGTTTCTTTCAGATTGTTAATACAGCTGTACACAATGTATGCAAAGTGAGTCTTGTTGGCCAAACTGAAGCTGTCATAATAAGAACTTTTTTCCTCAACCATAGAAAACACACTGATCACTCCTGGCTTCAGCACATATGACGGACCCACCGGCAGGCAGACCCTCCTCTTCCTGACCCACAGCTGCCCTGAACGCTCTACCAGCCTCTAATGCCCGTCAGGGTGAGTATTCTCCAAAGCCTCTAAGGAGGCCAGCTAGTTTGTCACCCTTAATGCCTGTATTCCTGAAACGGATAAACAAACAGGCCTGCTAGGATATTTGGCGATGGTTTTGATTTAGACGGATGTAAAGAGGCGTGGATGAATCATTTTGTGAAAACCCTTCGAGTCGCATGCATTTATGTATTCAGAAAGTGTCGGACCTGAATGTTTGGGCTGCTATTGTGTGTGAGTTGGCGGAAGGCGTGTGTGGGGGAGTGCTGGTAAGGAAAGCAGACTTAGTTTGGTAATTGAGTGCTTAATCCCATCAAAGAAAGCTCCTTGCCATCCTCTTCTTCCATAATCTGCCAATAATTACTCAGTCGCAGTATTAGACTGTCAAACACACACATACGCAAAGTTGATCCTGTATGGATGTATGGAGAAGCAGAGTGCCTCTTTCAGCCCTAAAGTCACTTCATCTTAAATTTAGATTTTTTTTCCCCCGACCGTTATGACCCATCGACGAACATCCCAATATAATGTGTTACACAACATGACTCCTTCTTTCTGGCTGATGATGTTTTAGTTCCAGGTTATTTTTATGTCACTTTGTCTAATGTCACATAAGCTGTTGTACCTTTAAGCTCGGTGTTTTCAGACGTTGAAGCGAATCAGAGGAAAGATGAGCTTTCTGAATGTATAGCTGAACAAATCTGCTGTATGTTCACATGGCCTGCAGGTTCCTGACATTTATGTCACCTTTCTGGGGTGATGTGCTGTACTGTTGGACTGTTAAATAACGTTAGGATTAAATGTGCAGTGTACATCCTGCTAACTCTTTCTCTTCTATTTCTGTATAATATGAATACTTTCTCCTAAGTGACACTTTCTCTTTAGAGAGAGGTTTTATTGACTTACTTAAACCCTGTCAAACAAAGGCTTAAAAATGTCCTTAATGAAAGACACTTGTACAGAATCTATGAAAACAAGAAAGTGTTTCCTGGTCTGGGTGATAAAGAAAGACTGACTGGACATTATGACGATTCTGTAAGAAAATATAACACCATGTCTGTTATCTTTAGCAGCATTTTGTTTCTGTGCTCCTCTAATCCGGAAGAAACTTCCAGAAAACTGCAAAACAGCCAAAACGCTGAGATCTTTCAAATCCCACCTGTTTGATTAGTAGTAACTGGAACATTGAGAATTATTTCACCACTTAAACTCACTTCTAGATTATTACATTTTCTTCCTCAGATAATCAGTTAATCTGTGGTTTAAAATAAAAAGGAGAAAAAAAATCCACAGAGAAAATTAACATTTTGATGAATTCTACAACCTTCATCCCATTATACATACACTATACTTTATGCATTACATGTATTTGATGTGTAATGCTAAGTTTAATGATGGCATTTGACAAAATGTAATGTTTATTCCTTGTTTCATAAGTGGTGACCGTTTGCTGTTTTCATGGTGTAAAGCACTTTGAACTGCCTCGATGCTGAAATACAAAAATAAACCTGACCTGGACCTCTGCTGAATTTTAAGTGAGTTTGGAAGGGT